AATTTGCATCATAATCACCAGCTTCAGAATGTGGAAGCATGAGTAGAGCCGCATGCCACCGAACAATCAGCCTTTTCACTGTGTAATTCAAAGCGTGCAGAGCACGCAGGGCCACAAACCCAGAATTTGCGGTTTGGCAGGTGGCCTTCGTGGCCAAGCGAGGCTGGAATTCTTGGAGTCGGCTTTCAGGAAGAAATTCCCGTCGTCAAGGGGTTAAAAGGAACGTCACAGTTTTCAATGTGTAATATCTATCATGTCACAGTCTGGATCCCATAATTAGAGATTCACCCATTTGGGATGAAATACGGTATAATGTAATGGCAGGAAATGAAAGAAGGGATCCATGCTACCACTTTTGGACCAATCAATAATTACATGCACACATCTAAGCAAGTATTATATCAGTATACTGAATGACTGCTCGGAAATTAAGTAGCCATTAACTTTGCTACAACCATTAATCAAATTGATCAATGTTCACTTAAAAAGATTGGCAAAAAACTTTAAAATGTTACGTGAGTTATAACTTGTATCTATGGAAACATTTTTTCCCCCTACTTTTTGTCCGTCATGGTTTGTGCTCAGAGATTGTTACTGCAATGACTACCTGATATCTATCAGAGCTTGTACGTTATTCTCAGCTTGTTGGTAAAACTGCTGGAAAGGGAACAAGGGATCGTCTGGTCTCAGTGATTCATCTGTGAAAACAAACAGCACGTTTTCTTTTTACATATACATATCCAATTTCAGCAACAAGTCAGACAGAAGCTCCAGCTTCGGACTTTCTTTTGTCAGATGAAAATGCAGTTTTTACTGCCACATGTGAGACCAATACACAACTGACTACACAACATTTAGGACTGAATACATTCAACTTTTTGGTTACCTTTGCCAAAGAGTAACTTCATCTTGGCCTGCATCTCCTTGATAGCCTTCTCCTCCAGCCACTTTTTTTGCCTCCTCTTCTCTTGCTCTTTGTATTCCTCGTGCTCTTCCTCAAGCATCACCTTTAGTTTGGAAAATAATACTTGCAATTAGGGGAACAATACATGTGAAAAATGTATGTTACTCTTTACAGCTAAAGAGTTTGATCAAGATGATTACTACTAAGCATATTTGGAGAACTATTTGGAAAGTCTGTAAAAACTCGCTGCCTGTGAATGGATGTAAGCCAAGAAAAAGAGCAAGAATCAAGTATATAAAAGCCTGGATCAGATTTGATTATACGTTCATATCCAATATTACCGTGTCCCATACTCGACTAGGCTGACTTTTCATTCTGGCAAATGCCAAAATATGTATACCTTTTACATGATTTTGAAACCTTTTTCACTTGTACTCGGGCATAAAACTGATGAAAGCAGCAAGTGCCCCACTGTAAATCGCAAGTGGGCTAAATCTGTACTAGGTCAGTCGGCACTCCAGTCTGTACTTCTGGAGTATCAATCTGTTTAGGTATTGAGAGATTAGAATCCTTCACAAGACCAAGGCCCAAGTACAGAAACCTACTCTGCCCACCCCCCCATATACCTGCATAACTCTCTCCTCCTCCTGGTATAAGACACTCTGCTTGCCCATCAACTCCTCAAGGGGCTTCAGTGTTTCATCAAAATTGACATCTGATTCCCTTGGGGTGTAGATGCCTTCAACAAAAAATAATACATGTATACAAATCAGTCATTCTCGTTCTCAAATCCTGGGCAACCAACCTCAAATTTGGTCCATGATAACAGGTCTGCAAGTTAGCATAAGAACAGACCTATTTTACCCAGCGTCATTTTGTTTCATATTTGAACAGAAAATCCATGACTTGAAGAGTTTATGACATCATAGTGTTGAGGTCTTGAGTTGCAACAGAAAAGTATGGATATTTTAAGTATTGTGTATAGGATTTCCAAGCTCTCAAAAAATCTTGAAATTTCGTAAAGTAAGTACATAATAGTGTCAGACAATCTGTGATATCTTGCCATGAGAAATGCTGTCATTTTTGAGAAAAAGAAACATTTCATATTTTTGCCAAAGGTCATCCAGACGGATGATCTTTGAATGGCCAATGATGGTGTGTGGATGGTTTTTTGACTGATGTAAATGGTAACGTGTGAAGAGCGAACAATCCAGTCAATTGTGCATGTGTATAATGTACCCGTCCATGTACATTGTACATTTTGGTCGCGCATTGATTGTGGTGTCTGCTGTCTGAAGTCAAACCACTGTACGACGACAAGGTGTTTATTCAACAAATTCTCAGCATTGCATTGCTGAAGAAGCACAAACTTGAAGGTAAATTTACCAACCACTATTACTGTGCAAAGCCATGGGAAAAAATGCATTTTTGAGGGTCATAATTGGTCTCCAGATTGGTCTGGCCTGTGCACTACCCAGGCTCTCAGGAACATCCTGTAGCCCATGAAGTTTTGCGAGACAAATTACACAAGCTGGGCGTTTAGTCATAGCGTTAAAAACGAACAGCGTTTTTCTCAATTTTCCTCAAAAGTAGTGAACTCAAAAAATGAAACAGGTCCTTGAAATGATACACAAAGTGAATCACAAATCCCCAAATGGGCAAATTTTGACAAACTGCAGTACCTGCAAATCCTGTGCACTGCCTTTACGGAGTGAAGAGGTGCCTTTCAAAATCTTTAAGCAAAGAAAGGGTGTCTGACTATTTTCATACACGTACTAGTCAGGTACTGGGAAAATGTGCCAACTCTAAGTTTTTCATAAAATTATCTACAAGTATGGTAAGTTCGGGTACAAACTATAGTTCCACTGGCAGTCAATTGCTTTTAGCAATTTATATGTGCAATTCAGTTACGTTCCAATGACCCCAGTCGGTCAATTTTAAAATTTCGTTACAATTTACCATTTGCTGTGATTTTTGCAGCATACATGGTCATTGACATCTCATACAATTATTTCCATGTGAATGGTTCCCTCCACAATGATAAATGAAATCAGCTATTGGTAACCAGCAGTGTGACCATACCCAAATGATCGACTAGATAGTTCAAACCACCCATCCTTTGAGCCGTGTTAGTCCAACTAAAGTCAACTTTATAACACCTCGCCCACAGATTAGTTTTACTATTTTTATACCATCGCTTCAAAAAGACTATACCATGCAGCCTCATTCTGAAAAATAACTATATCCATAGCAACCAAAGAACCATATCCATAGCAACGAAAGCATAGGCACATATTTGGGCTCATGGCAAACAACACTGGTTAATGAATGTATTCAAACGTTGCTGTTCCGCTTGGAATTCTTGAATTAAATTTGATGAAAGTTAATTCCAGTTTGGTGTTTCATTCTTGATTTTCAGCTTAAATTTTGCACAATCTGCGAGGAGGTGTTATAAAACATATATTGACTGCTTTATCTCGTGGTACAGTAAAACTAGCCTCCCTTGGTGATTCATGGAGCATTCTATTTTCCCCCGGCAAAGCCGCGGGGAAAATAGAATGCTCTAAGAATCACCTCAGGAGGTTAGTTTTACTGTACCACTTGAAGCAGTCAATATTTGTATAATAGTCGTCGCTCAAACTTGTCTTATCTTTGAAGCCTCAAGCCCCTTTCCACTGTTGGTGCCTGTTCCTTACCCTTTGCCTGGGCTGCATCCTTGCGAAGCTGTCTGAGCTTCCTCAGTCCTTTGATGAGTTCCAGAGCCTGAGAGACCTCTTGTTTCTTCTTTCGAACCTCGTAGAGCGTCTTGTCGACCTCTTCCTGCAGTTCGACCTCCTGGCGCCAGAGGGAAGAGAATAAAAGATGGTGAACAGAAAACTTATCTCCAACATCTGGTGAAATGTCTGGTTGTGAAGGGATTTGCTTGGAGTGAGGGAATTTTCTTTATGGACAGGGAGAGGGAAACAAGAGTTTAGATGGCAAGCTTTTGATGAATGTTGGTTCTATAGCTGTGCAGGCTTTAACACTTAGAAGTTGAGTGTGCTTCTCTTCTTGAACAAGTTGCCCCATGGAATATCCATTAAATCATTGCCTCTAATGAACATCAAAGGGTACTGATGCGAACAATTCAACACTGTCTTGGCAGCAAGCAAACTTACAAGTGAATTAACGCTTCCAACACAGCACAAACCACTGAACTGCCCTCACACAATCAACCTTTCAAAAACATTTGAACAGAATATTCAGCAAGGCAACAACAAAAGACGTGTTGATCTTGACAACTTGATGTGAACCTTTTTGAAAAAGGTTTCTGTTAAGCTTAAGTACCCTTTTCTTTTCTTGCTCAGCTTGTAACCTCTTGGCCAGCTCAGAATCAATCTTAAGATGCATCTCCTTTCTCCTGGCTTCCACATCTTGCTCCGCCTGGTACTTCTCCAATCTTTGCCTTTTCAGTCTCGCCTTGGTCGTAAACATAGTCAAATTGTCACAGTTTTAATATTAGCTTCCTTAGTATTTTTTGCTTTTGTATGCTTCAGAATGCAACACCAACTGCTAGTGAACACTGCTGTGCAGTATAAACCAATGGAGAATGGTTACGTTTGCTGCAATCAAGGACCTTTACCACACACTTAAGGAGAGCCTCTCTGGGGTTTATGACCCACATCGCCCCACAATGCAAGCACGCCATCACTACAAACTTTCTACTAGGCACTGACATTTGTGTACATTGCGAAGGAACTGCTGAGCCTGTGGATTAGTGCATGTGCACCTTAAGTCATTCCAAGAACCTTCCGGACAAACACACCTGCTAAGGTACACGTGTACACAGTGACATTTGACAACAGATTTGGCTGTACGTATCTCACCCGTTTTCTTCTCGTCTTCTTCATTTTGTTGTCTAGCTGGTCAGTAACTTCCTTACTAAATACTTTTGCCTTCAGCGCCTCAACTCTTTCCTAATAGAAGAAGAAAGACACGCGGTACTAATCTTTCTGTGTCTTAGGAATTCTTTGCCTACCAGTTGCTGGTAAACCGTGGCAAAAACAAAAGCAAAAGAACAATCCAGAAAGCGTTGAAAAATTCACTACTACTAAATAATAATATAGCCCTTTTTAAAAGTAATGGGCTAGATTTACATACCTCACACCAACAAGGGGTGATATTTCTGACCACATGTGCAAGTAGCAGGTACTATAAGAGAGGTCTAATTTGTTTGTATACATGTACGCGAACTGCTGATTACTATGATGTGGAACATGTCTCTTATGCAGCAAACAAGTTGTCAAAGAGGTAAAAAAAACTGCATCAAACACATTCAAGCAGTCAACAATTGCTTTATTGCATGGCAGTGAGACTCTAAGATACAATGTTGTAACTATTAGAGGGGAAACATTTGAATCAATGTAGTGTACCCTTTGATAGTTGACAAGCACTATTTTTATGAGGCAGTATCGTTTAAGGCAGTAAACAGCTGTTTTGAATCGAGCACTACTGTGCTTTACAAATGAAGCTACAGCATCCAAGGCATGGGGGTAAGGCACAGAAAGAGTTCTGCTTCTAATTACATGCCTTTCAAAAAAGGGGTCGCTAAGTCGGAAATTCTTTTGGGGGAATTTTTGTACTGATTGAATGGGGTCATATGCCCTTTTTGACAATTTTAGTGCGTGGCGGGAAAAAACACAGCTTTGCTTCACTGAGCATCAATACGCAATTGTTTTCATCACTGTGACAGCGAACCACAAAGGTTACTTGTGAAAAAAATTGAGTTTCCTTTTACAAATAGCTAATGTAAGAATGCAAACACATAAGTGTTTTTGAAGTGAAAAAGTTGAGAGGCATTTTAAAAAGACAGACAAGACAACGGGCAATTTTTGTCAGGGTCGGTCAGATTTAACTGGAAGCAGAAGAAATGTCTACTACCTTTGTCCGATTAGCCCTCCTGCATTCATACTGCCAAGATGACTCATCTTTGTTGATGTGCCTACTCATCATGTCTTTCTGCTCGTTCAGTTGACGCAAAGCCAGAAGCAAGTCTTTGACTAGCTGTCGACCTTCCCCTAGCTGTGCATTCAAAGGAGAGGGAAATAAAGAGATAAACATTCAAACATTAAATAGTAAAATGCTTTGAGAATTAAAAGGTAGGGCTTTAGCCAGTTTTGTGAACTGTGGAGTTTTCTTTAAATAGAATTTCCAAGATCAGACCCTTTTGCTCATACTCGTCTGTGAAAACGGACTTTCATCCATCTGACTGGTTTAAAATATGCATTTAGAAACTTCACATTATGTTGTTAGAAACAAATAAAAAGTACATTGAAAAGTGACATACAGGCAGTGATGAGAAGCTAAGTTTTTTTTCCTTTGCCTGAATCAGCATCATAAATTGAAAAAACAATTTGACAAGATTTTAAACAGTGTTTAATCTACTTGGACATTCAAAACACAATTTCTCTTTTTTTAATTTCTTCCAAATTTGCACTCACGGAGATGGGTTTAAATTTCTTATCCTTTGCCTTCTCTGATTGGTCTATCTTGTGCTTCCTCAGCCAAGTTTTCAGCCAATCCTCATCTTTTTCTCTTTGAGACTTCTCAGGCATGGGAGCCTGGTGCTGTGAATATGGCTCAAGGCCTTCACGAGACTGTGGTGGATGATGAGAAGGCACAGCTGGTTGATTTAATTCTTGGATGGAGAAAGGATTAGAAGTAATAGCCTCTTGTGGCAGCTGTTGCTGGGGCATTGCAGGGAACCGATGACCAAGTGGGTGTGGTCCCGTGGGATGCTGTCCTACAGGGTGTGGTCGTGGGAGAGATGAATCTGGACGGTTGTGATCTTGGTGCTGCTCTGGTGGATGGAAAGGTTGGGTTGGAGGTGGCACACTGAATCCTCCTGGCATTTCGAATGGGCGTGGTACAGGCTGATGTGGATGTGGCTCAAATGGAGGCAGGCCAGAATGGAACAGTTCAGATGAGTGTTGTGCAGGTTGGCGTTGCCCTGAGGGGTGTGGTTCTTGATGCTGCTGGAAGTGTTGAACATGACTGAATGGACCGTCAGAAGGAAAATGTGATCCTGGAAACTGATGTCCTGGAGCAACCATTTGAGAATGGTGTCTCCTACTCTTAGTTTCTGCCATTCTTTCCCGATTTGAAAGATGGCACATTGATGAGCTCTGCCTCTCATCAGATATGGGCACTGTGTTGGAATTGATTGATGTGTGGACAATGTTTGAGAATGGCTGCAACTTACTTCTCTCTGTCTCGTCACTTATTTTTAAATGCAGACATGCGTCAGCTCTCCCAAGCATGTTTAGGTTATCTGGACTGACAGGATTTCTGGGGACACCAGGATGATTCTGAGGACCCCGGTGATTCTCAGACTGTTGAGTTCTTCCCTGCTGCTCCTGACTTCCCATCCCTGGCATGCCCGGAGGCAGAGTCTGCCAAAATGGTTGAATGGGACTAGGATGGGGGCCATTGCCACCAAGCACTGGCTGACCCAACAACGGAGGCCCCTGGTCTTGGGGAATCGCCATTGGTGCATTGGTTGGGGTGTTCATCATGGTAGATTTTACTCTCAAACAAACCTGCAGTTAGTCACATTGGTTTGGTTAGGGCCTGTAAGCCTTATCACTAATAATACTGCATGGGTGATTTTGCACAATGGTAGAAAGGCATTGTGGGAAGGAAAAGGGGGCAATGTTTGCTTCTTTGTCCTTCCCACACATGCCACAACATTGTGCAAAATCACCCATGTGGTTACTAGTAGCGGAGGCGTATGAGTAATGACACATTTCAAGTTCAGCTTGGTTTATCTAACTTAGACTCAAAGTCACCACTCCGCATTACACAGAGCAGCCTTTAATAGTTGGCAGACAACAAGCACAGTGCAAATAACTTACATGTATGTACAATTAGGCCTACACAAACTGAAAGTTTTCAGAATAAGCTTACGGAAATTGAAGAAACCGGGTGATAAGCAATAAGACATTGTTAGACGAGTGCATGTTCTTCGACAACATGTTTGAAGAGTTGATAAATTGTGTTGTTGACTGTTGTCACTGGTTGTTACTTACGTAAGCCCCTTGGCCTTGTTAAAGGCACCTTTGGCAAATTTATGCCATTGGTGCCAGCCTTCAGTAGAATTGCTGAGTCACGGTGAGACTATCCGCTGCGTCTGGACTGTAGGCTTGAGCTTCGAGAGTGGAGATGAGTATGAAAGAAACACTAGAACTATGCGCTAAATGAAAGCAACATGCGATGCGCGAGGCAAAAATAAAACGCTGAACTGAAGCTACCTCAAATCTCGATTGGTGCTTACGCATTTGTGTGCCGCTGTATTACGGTACCTACAGGTCTCCACAGGGTACAAGACTTTAGTCTGATACCTTAGAATCAGTTACTCTCTCACGTTATACTGCAGTTCCCAGACAGGTACCAGACACAATTAGATGATGTAGAGATGGCCGAGGACAGCCGAGCTGTACGGATTTTGTCTGATTTGTGTGGCGTTTTACGTCGAGAAAAGAATGTGTAAGGAGTCATCTGTATTCAGTGTTAGTTTACTGAGTTACGATGAGCAGAATTGTTTTCGTATGTCGGAAATACATGTAGGGCTCTAGACCTAGGTTACTTGCTTCGAGAACTGCCTTTGTACGGCAATTTGCATATTTGCAGCTAGCTGCTAGCTGCAGCTGTGTGCTAACACGATTAGTCAACGAAGCCGATGTGCAAACAACCAGAACGCACAATCAGAACCGAGGGCCAAAATCATAAATGAGTATTTCATTTGCTCTATGCCAAAAAAGAAATGAAACTGCGGCTGCGTATGACGTAAGCGCTGCACATTAATTTTGCTGTGACCATGGTGACCTTTTTAAATTTGGATTTTATCGTTACCCAGTTGCAATGCGCACATAAGCCTGCTTGTGTGGTGTTATATAGAATATAGAATTGTGTCGTGCCATCACCACAATGCGATGCCATGATGGAAGATCACAATACGATGCTACAATGGCTCTGTCATGTTGTGCCATTGAATGTGGCGTCACCTCCTTTCTCATTACTTTCATGCTGATAAATGTGATACATTGAATATGATATTTGGGAGACTAATTAACATTGTACAAACCAGATTTTTGCATAAATGTGCTTGAATAACTTTTTGACACCTTGTTGATGCTCATTTATTTTCAAAGCTAAAAAGCATAACCCAAACTGTAGGGTTTTTATAAACGTTTCAGGTTTTTACACATGTTACAGATAGACATGTACCTGTATAACTCGCATAAACAGAGTTTTGGCTGTTTCAATAAAATTCCAATTTACTCCGCCATTACAAATATTTGTGCGGCAATATTGCACACATTCCTTCTTGGGCAGGTAAGATGTCTTATATTCACTTAATATCTCATTTAAATGGTAAAATTCACAAGCACTTCACCCATCCATGCCACGGAAACCATAATTTGCGCAAGAGTTAAGATTGTGCTGAACAGGCTTGTGCCTTTAGAAAGGATTTTTCTTAACATGATATGTTGACCTCTCACTGTCACTCCCAAACCATAATAGTGTCGTCCAAACGGTCAGCTTTGTATCATTTCATGCTTGCCCAACATGATTGGCCTTCTTCCTAAGCTGCGTAGTGAGAGGCCTAGTTTCATCAGCAAAAAACTATGATTGCGGTTCTTGTTAAGTCTGTATTATAACTGCAAGGAAAGTGTTTTTGAGCTGTGAAATTTCCTCCTTGACCATAATTGTTAGTCAACTGAGAAAACGAGAATGGGGTTTAGACTAAACATTTACGATGATTATGTGAATTGACACGTTTGCTCTTTAGATTTTAGATTTTCAACCCATGGAAACATTGTTCACATTGTTCTGTGTTCTCCATTTAGTCTTAAGCCCTTTTGATTCTTTTACAGACACGACTTTGGCTTTGTCTACTGCCCTGAGCCATTGTGTAACAAGAGCCCTATCGTAGTGGTTGATGGGAACTTGGGCATTGAGACATGGAGCATTAAACCTCTGTACTTTCATGCCTACTCACAACTCTTCCACAGCAAGCACAGACAACATGGTAAGAAGTCTGTGCGCTTTGATGACATACGTTTCCCAGATACATTTTCAATCTACTATCATGGATGTCAGGCAGGCATTCTGGTCTGGGACTAAGGCTGTTCACTGTGTTGTGCTTCAGGCTCAAAGCCACAGCCACTAAATACCTGATTTAGACACAGCCTGACATGAACTGTGTCTGACCACAGAAACTTTTAGAGCCACAATGAATGCATCTGTACAAAGTGCAGTTGATGTGTAAGTTTTAGAATGAGATCACTTCACATCCTAAGGCAACAACAATTTCTGCTGAAGCATCATGGCAGTAGCAGCATTTTTAAAGTTCTATGTTGTTACATAACAAGGGTCCTGCGTGTATGCCACAAACACACCAAACATTGTGCTGCAGTTAGACATGAATCCAGTCGGACTTACATGTACATTGCTCTTCCCCAGTCAGCCATTTCTTCACTGTACAAAGTACACGGTCTTCACCCTTGGCCACTCGCATTTATGAGGCACCCTTATTTGATAGCTTTTCTGCAATATGCCTCATCGGTGTGTGTCATATGTCCCCCGTCAGTGATTCCAACTTGATGGATAAGTCAATCAGACCCCCCGTCGGTGATATGTAGTTATTCATAATTGCATATGAACAACATGATCTTACATAATGTATACAGAATTTCCACCAATCAAAGTAGTCGGACTTGAATTTTCCACCAATCAAAGTAGTCAGACTTGGAGGTACATATATGAATGATGTAAAAACCAAGTCCGGCAATTTGATTGGCGGCTACCTGCTTGGGAAAATGAGCTGATTTGCATGTGTACAAATGGCTTGCAGATTTGTCAAGTCAGGATTTCTGAACTCAGAGTAATAAGTGGACACGAGGGCGCGAAGCATAAACAAGCATAAATGCGGACAATGTCACAGAAGATCCTGACTTGAGTCAAGTCCATGCTGCAGGTTACATGCACTGTTTCTTGCTTCAAACTTTCCTACATGAACTTCAACGTAATCTCATCAGCTTTTGAAGGGCTTCAAAGTACTTTGCAATTTTTTTGTTTGGGTTATCAGAACTGTCCCAGGTCCATTAAAATCCACCAGGAGAATTTGGAAGAATTTTTCAGAATTTAAGAAAGAACAAGCCAGTCATTCTCACTCACCGGTCTTGATGCCTTGCGAATGTTGAAGTACAAATATCATGCTGTTGGGAAGGTTCCAGTTATAATTCCCGTGGTCAGTGTCAAAAGCAAGACTTCACGTGAAGGACTTGCTGTGCTTGAGACCACTTTCAAAGTGCACATGTACGTGGCCAAAGAAGTTCCGTCTATTATGACAGAAGCTGGTAGCAGCGAGTGTCCTAAGACTAAGTGTAGCATTTTACCAGTAAAGAGCTTGCTGTATGCAGAGTGCATTGATACATGGTATGTAGACTTCTGACATCACATTTTGTCATGGCTGAATAGAATACTTGCGTTCCGACCGCACTGATTTCAAGCCTCTCTTTACCTTTAAGACTTGAAAAGGTCAGGTGACTGCAGCATGGCTGTTCTCCTACTTAATCCTGATTGCCTCTCTGCATGGAATCTCAGGTAATAGTTACCTCTGTAGATTTCTGTGTTTCTGCATCCATGAGAGTGTCAGTTTGTTTGTCTCTGTCTCTCATTCTCTCTTATCCCCCAATCATTATGTATTCATCTGTCAATTGTCTCATTACTTACTCTTTGATCTGAACTGCCAATGTCAAAAGATCCAAAAGATTTTTGTAAAGTCATACATCAATTTTTAAATTTGTAGGCAGGTGTGCACCTGTCCATTGTGTCCCAACCTCCCCCCCTCCCGGATGCCCCGTCCAATCCGTGGTATTGTCACTTTGTGAAATGATAAATTCTCACCCTTGGAGCAGCCAGTGGTAGCAATATAATTTGGAAAAAAAACTGGGACTAAACTCATGACATAACACCCAGGGCAGCCTGTGACGGGTGGGTTGGGGAAAGCAATTGATGGCTGCATTAGTGGCAATGAATCTTTCCTCAGGACACACCCGTACCCATGTAGGCTAGACAAGCACCCATTGTCTTCAGAATTACCCACAGGTCTTGAGTTTGAGTTTCCATATTATGAGGCTACTTTCCTTGAGTTTGGGCTACACACATCAATCTTTGGTTTCATGTAGGAAACAACTTGTCTTGAACAAATACTTAAAAGCAGAGGAGGAGTTGAACCTTGCCCGACTGGTCTTGTCAAAGCATCCCAAGAGCACAGAGACATTCAGCCAAAGGTATGGCATCACTGACGTGCAAATGCGTGGCCTGGAAATTCACAGGTAGACAGAACCTCTGTCACCTCACTTTAGTTCCTATACTTCCGCGAGGAGTGCTTATTAAAAGCATTTTTGTTTTAAGTGCCCTTTCAAAGGTTAAACAAATTCGTTCCTCTTCATGGATGAAACCAGGATTGCAGTTAACAAGGAAACTTGTCAAAATTATTCAAACCAAGCACCTCAGGAAACCAGTCTGATGCTCTACCAGGTCACATCTGTGGCATCCGGAAACCCGAATTCCATGAAACTAGGTTATGTTTGCAGGAGCCAGAAAGGAGAATTTTAGAGGAATTTTGACCATATTAAAGCCGGCATTACAAAAAATGTAATTGTGACTTTTTTAACAGATTAATCAGCATTTCAAAAAGAGATGATTTTGCAATCAACAACTTTTCAAGGAGAATTTTGGTTTGCTTCCTGCAGACGTTGGCTCCTGCAACAGTTATTTCCTATCGCAAAGCTAGAAAAAGGCAATGCCCCCAGAACTGAGTTCCCAGAGGATAACCTGGCAGGACTTCATCCCAGTGTGGCTGACAGTTTACAAGAACAAGATGGAGAGAATGCCCACAGGCAACCACATGATGAGACGCTGATGATATTCGTCAGGGCCGAGATGGAGGTTTGCGAATTGGCTGCTGGCCGGTACCCAAGCAACTACAATGCCTGGAGCCACAGGATATGGGTTGTTGAGCATCTAGCTGGTTGCCCGCCACAGGTATTGCAGTTTGCAATATAGGGGGATAACTCAACTCCTGGCTGAAGTGATGTTCATGCATACATGAACATTACTTACAGTTCTTACAAACGGTTGAGGGTTGAGCACCAGAAAATTTAAAAATAACTAAATTAGTAAAAACAAATTGGCAAGTTATCCTGCTACGTAGCTATTGTCTGTCGTCCATCTTTCTCCTCTGTCAAAGATTCATGGCTGTCAACCATCCATGAAAAGTATTAATGCTGCAAAAGATATGGGGCATGAAAGACAAAATCCAGAGCAATACATGATCATTCATTGGTTCACTCGTGCAAGTGGGTGTCGCGTATCAGTAAAGTTGTTAATACGCTGGGTTTTTGTGCTGTCAGACAACCAAACTGATTATTTCACTGACAAATGTAAGTGTCTTAATAGCCAAGGAACAGATTAGTTGCTAGGGAAACAACGGAATCAAGAAAAGTTGGTGAATTGAATAAATAAAAAGTTTTAGTTTCTGGCATTAGTGCCCTTTTTTCCTGTTCCTCCTGAACACAGTTCCTGAAGTCTGAGTTAAGAGCCACCAAGTCCTGGGTGTCTTCTCATGTGTCTGATCACAGCGGCTTCCATTATCGGCAGTTTCTCCTCGGCACGTTGACGGGGCTTTCCCGGCCCAACCGTCTGTACCCTGGATCTCCCCTAAGGTCCGGCTTGGGGTCTGACACCGCTCTTCCTGGGAGTCTCATCCTGGAGGAGCTACAGCTCATCCTAGAGCTGGTGATGTCTTACCCTGGGCACGAGGCCGTGTGGTATCATAGGTCAGTGTCTTATGTAGTCACTTACTACTCCAGCATTTGAGAGGATTTATACACCCACTACTTTGCCAGTAATCCTGACTGATAAAGCAGGAGTTGCATAGAAGGATCATTAGCAGCTTTTTGATTGAATCATTAAAACATTTACACTTACAGCAGTGGATAGAGAAAGTCGATAGTAACCACTTGCCAGTAGTGTTGTTGCTTCAAGAAATTTGTCCCAGGTGTGGTATTATTTTCGGCCCAAGATACACACATTTTCGAATGACGGGATACCACAACCACAAATGTTTACAAAGTAGGCCTTTATAAATGTTGAGCCTCAATGATCATTTGGTCAAGAATTTTGCAACATTTCTTACCAAATCATCACTTTTTTTAACTCCAAGACGGTGAGTGACGTTGCCTCAACACCTGTCTACAGCACAGGGCTGCTTGAGGACTCCACACATAGTCAACCTCCACGGACCAGTTTGAGCCTCTGTGGGTGTTAAAGCTCAAAAGGAATCACTCAAGCATGGGGACGAGTATGGACATTACTAGGCACTACATACTGCATTTACCAGAGCATATTTAAACATCTTCTGTGTTATTACACAGGAAATTCCTTTGCACTTACACATATTCAGTATTCACTGAAGTGGCCCCCATCAAAATTTTAAATAATTTATAAGTCTGATGAAAAGTAGGGATATGCAGTAGATCTCCAAAAGTGTCCATCCTCAAACAGTTTTTTTTTGCATTTTTTTTTCTTATCAAACAACTATTAGGCGGTTTGTGGTTTATCTGCGGAAGACACTTTTATGCAGTGGATCTGTAGCAGCTGTGGATCAAACTACTGGAAGCCTGGGAGCTTATGGTGGTGTTGAATTATTGCACATGGAGACATCATCACTAGACAAAGCTTCAGTCAAGGATTGCCCAACTGCAGATCAGTCACAGCAGAAGCAGCAGATTGGAAACTGTCCAACTGGGAAACAACCGATTGAGAATCAGCCAATCAAGAATCGGCCACTTGCACGACGGCCCTTCAAGAATGGGCAAAGTGAAGCCTGTGGAGGAGATTCTCAAACAGACACTGGAGAAGATTTTCGAAGAAGAGACGCCATGTTTCCTGCTATGCAACTCCCTTCAAGATGCTCTCACGATAGGTCCTTACTGCAGCCAGCCAGTGAGCAAGTCTCAGATCAGTTGCCTCCTGTCCAGACCTCTGTTCAAGTGACTTCCAAGAGGCCAGAGGGAGTATCTTCCCTTGCGCACGATGTCTTGCCCAGTGAGGTCCTATGGCTGGTTCAGCATGAGAGGAGGTTCGCTGACATTGCTGTGGATGGCACAGCTCGGTCAGAGAGACCAGCACAACAACGATGTGCAGAAAACTACTGCCGTTGGTTAGAAAACTTGCTGACAACCAGTGGTCAGTAGGCAATATTTTCAACTGATTTGGGGTTCTGAAACACCAACCACTTTTGCAATACTAACAGAAGTACGGGGTCTGTTTACGGAAATAAAGTATGTGATGAAACTCACGTTTCAAAAAAGTATGTGATGAAACATTACAGATTGGAGATTGACTCAAATTTAATTCCTTGAACATTTACATGTATGTATCATCACTGCCGTGCAGCCACACTAAATTATGTTCCTTCCATGCGAAGATACCAAGACGTTTGTGCACATGTGATGAAATTTGATTGCGTGGCCTTCACACCGTCTGGTGCCAGTGTGCATGTAACACGTCATTCCTCTGCTCAAGTGAGGAGGTCCCAAGAGACTGTGTACAGTTCTGCACTAAATTCACACAGAAGTTTGATTTAAACAGTTAAACATAATTTGACTAACTTTGGTTGAAGGCACGGTTGTTGATGATGGTTGGACTAATCTTGTTCATTAACCAGGACCAGCCTACCATGAAATGCTTCTACTAGAATCATTAAAATTAATTTATTGGAAGGTGCTCTCAATCAGTCCAGAATCTTATCTGAGCAGATGTGGGAAGTTTGTACTTAATCTTGTTATGAAATCGTGTGTGCATGAAACTGAAATTTTGGTTTAAACTCAGTTTTTAATTAACAGAATTAATGAGACTTTATGTCCACACATTGGATAAGGCACTTTGTGTTTTATAGATGCACCAAGTGTGTGTTTTATGATTTTGTGCTGTACAAAAATTACTAATATTCGTCTTTCAACAGTTGCATGATGGTATTCTTTCCATAGACGTACTGGTGTCTTCCTTAAAGTTTGGTTTTTAAATCAGCTGTTGAGACTGTGTGTGATCCAGTGGAACTTTTTAACCTTCAATGCAAGTTTTTAAGTGTCTACAAGTGTTAAGGTGTTACGATTTGTGTTACATACATGTTGGGGCTGGGCATGAAAGTGTTCAGGTTTAACACCACATGTAAGTGTCCCAAGCTAAAGTGAAAAACGTTTGATGGAGAGCAGTATAACTCGGTTTCAGCAGAATCTCCAAGAAAGTTTCAGGAGAGTTCATGAGAATTCATTTTTTCCACTCTGAAGTCACAGTTATCACAGATGAAACAGTTTAGCGGGCTCTGTGATGCACTTTAACCTGGTCAAATGGCGCACTATTGGCTTTGTCCACAAGACAGGCATTGCGAATCAAAAGTGAGTCAATCCCTGTTCAAGTTTTTGTAAAATTTGACATATGGGAATTAAGATGAATTAAAGGGACATCCTTGTGCTCCCATGGGTACTTTCAAATCACGATTAAAAAGTCACATCCTCTTTAATGAGTAATAAAATATTTATTTTTTTCAAATTGAGGCTGTACATGTAATCATAGCCGTATAGTCAGACTCATTCCCACTTCCAAGAGTTCATTAAATAAAGTGGATTCAGGGAACACCACCATGGGAACTTGCATATTATGCTAAACGCACAAGGGAAGGGGACATCTAAGACAAAACCATACTTTTTTTTCCTCAGGTGACGATTGCCATTGTCTCATTTCTCTACCACATACTGCATGCTATCTTGAAATGTTATAGAATCCATTTCTTTTCAGACGTGCTTGATCCTTGAATACTATCGGATTTGAAATGTCTTCGGAATTGTCAGGCACTGTCAGGGATAAAGTCTCAAAGAAGGATATCTTACTACTAGAGTTGCAAATATCCCCCTGCACACAGCAGGGACCTGGGACAGTGACATTTGTACACATTTGATGAGAGTGAGCGAGATCATAGTTAACCGTGGTTCTGAACAAGGTCTAAGTAGGCTCAGCTCAAAACCATACTACACTACAGAGTGCACTCAACAGTTCCCACACAAAGCCTATAGGGAGCAAAGGTAACAGCAGTTAAAAACGGGACAGCAATCCTCTTGCAGCGCAAACACGTTCTGAAACTTTATTTCCAATATTTCATTGGATACTGTCATTTAGTATGGGGATGGAACATTACTTCAGGCGGTCTTTATTTTACAATTTTACAGTAAGTTCTAAATATCTAGAACAGTACAAGCAAAGGGGTTACAGCTAATGTTTACATTCACACAAATTCATGGAACAGCATAAAAAAATGAGTAACAATTATGTTAAAAAGATGTTTACTACCTTAAGAAAGTAAAAAAAAATAAAAAAATAAAAAACTAGTTTTTTGTAATTAGTTTCAATAACTTCAATTTCAAAAAAATTCAGAGTCCACAACCACGTCTCTGCCATTTATCATGTCCCAGAGAGCAGATCTATACATTAGATTTTACATTTAAATGTACGCTATCAAACAACATTGTATATTTAAAAGAACCCTTTAGTTCAACAGTATTGTTACATTACATAAAACTGACCAGGGGCTACATAATGCCAAATTGATGACCACAGCTTGTTACAAAAATGAATTCTGCAATGGATCATTCATCAGATTACAAACTCGATGAGTTGTGATTGAATCAAGGACAAGTTAATCACTTGTCTTATCATAAATCGGTTCACGTCAGAATATGAACCATGCATATGTCACAGTCTCCTTGAGTGGCTTGTGACTTTGATTTGAGTTTACATACAGGTTTCCAAATGTTGAATACATGTAATTGCCGGGGGTTCAGTGCACTGTCTTGCATTACAATAATTTATTCTCACCATTTTCTCGCCAAGAATTCTCCATCTTGCATCAATAGTCTCTGACAGCTTGAACAATAGAACAACTTGCCACTGATTCGTAGTGACTTTTGATTGATCCAGTTTTCACTCTGGAAATCTGATGTTCCTGGATTGTTGCTTGTGATATCATTTTTTCCTCATTGTGGTTATGTCTACAGTATTAGCCCACAATAAGCCTTTAGTGAGTTGAATTTGAAGAAAATCCGGTACCATGAGTTTTTTTAAATTCTCACGAAAATACCTCGTGATTTGGGGCAAGCTTTTGCATAGTGACCACCATCTCTGGAATAGACTGGTACCTTTGTGCCCTTCTTATCCATTGAAAACAGTGTATTGAGGCAAGGTGTCTCTTATGTAACCAAGCAAAAGCTTGCCCTGTATCATCACGTGGTATAGCAACAGTGTCTTTATTATGGGGAATTCAAATTGTTATGTGTATATGCAGTCAGATAAATCAGTGTACCAGATTTTATTCAAATTTAACCCTAACCCTCCTCAATCCTTCACCTGTTGGAGGACTGAGGAGTGTTAGGGTTAACCCGCAAAAGGCTTATTACATGGTCACATTCTATGTTTAAAACTTAGCAAGAGTGTATCATGATAAATGCTTGACAGATGCACGTATTTGCACTATGCATGAACTATTTGATAACCTTTCAGTTAATCAGACAGTTGGGCATGGGAATGGGAGGGAGCCAGTTATCACTGCACAAAATTTGAAGTGTCTTTCTAAAATGCGATAAGCGCAATTTATGTATCTTTCAGAATCCTACCTCTCTCTATTGGTTGCAGTCAGTTTCTACAACCTCAAGACAATAATGTGTCCAAATAGTGAAAAAGAAGTTTATGGACACATGGTTCACTGTTGAAGCTCTGAAATCTTTCATCGTTGAGGAAAATTGCATGTTTTTCAAATGGTCAATCTCATTCTGGAAATAAACCCTTCATTTTCATTTTTCAATGTATAGTGGCATACATGGGAATTGAAAACAAAGTTATCAGCTGTTTTGTGGAAAAATTGCACTCTTGACAAGATGCTAGCATACATTTTGTACTTTTTTCCTGGAAGAGTTTCTGTTTCTGCAATGAAACCTCTCCTATCTAGTTTTCAAAAAGTACAGATCACAAAATGTACAAAAAGTGTATTAAAAACTGCAAAATTTTCCTGTTTTAGAGAGTATTTTAAAGGACTTTTCTTCAAAAACGTGCAATTTTGAAAAAAAAACAAAACTTACTGAATGTACAATGTAAGCATGGATTTCTCTTCATTACACTTTTTAGCATGGAATTCTATTCATTAACTCTTCCTGAAGCAATGATTATGCACAAATTTCATTTGTACTCAAATGCTTAATTTATGTACTCTAAATAATTTTCCTTTGTAAAGGCCATATGCTTACTCAGATACAACGTCTTTTTAAAAAATCTGTGAAAGTTACAGAGAAATAAAACTAAGCTTAAGGTGCATATTGGACTGATGTATTGCGACTATTCATTGCTAATGTGTTGTCATTCTTGGTCCCTCACAAACCATCTTTATTTATTTAGAACCATCTTTTTTTTAAAAATCAGTGAAAGGTGATCATATTTGGCCCTCACAATGAAGACGACGAGGGTTCTGTGTGAAAGGTGGGAGGAAACCCTAGATAACTTTATCCATAGAAAACCCAGGCAATCAGGGGTTGGAAAATCAGACTGCAGAGGTGGAAGGCAAGCCAAGAGCCACATTGCCAACCTGACTGCCTGCATGCTACAGATACAAACTCAGTCATGAATTTTCCCCACGCAACTGGTCCTGAATTTTGAAGAGCCTGCTCGTGCAAAACACTGTTCCCTTTTGCTTCACCTTAAACTGAAGTGTCTCAAGGAAAAACTGACTTTATCATCTCTATTTATTTATTTATAATTTACATTAAAGAGACTACCAGTTGTTCATCATTTCAAGGTTATAAAAATAGTGTGTCCCACGGTCCTCCTTCCTTGCTTAAGAAGGGAATTTTAAACCTTATTAAAAATTCCACATTGTGGAGATGCTTGATATGATACACTTTCACCGTTATCAAGACGCTCCTAAAGAAGTGATTTCCTAAGATGACCTCACATACTGTTCTGTTGAAATTTGCAGCCATTACCTTTAATAAGAATAGCAAATAAAATCACACAAAACTTTTTTAGGTAATTAAAATGTAAAAAAGATGTTGTGAGCTATTGGGCAAATAATCAACACATCTCAACAAAATCAACGCATCCCATTCACTTTAATCTATGATAGTTGTTTTCAAACGTTAAAACCATTATGAAAAGGCATTCTTATACCATAGTAAGAAACTTCATGAATAATTTTTGCTACATTTTAAAAATTGGATTTCAGTTCACTAAAATACCATGAAATAAATTTACATGTATTTTGATATTTTACTAAATACATAAATTACATTTACTAAAATTTGTTTCGTTCCAAATCTGCCAGTCTGAACATCATGCATTGCTTTGTTTTAACGAGCATTGCCAACAACATATATCATCAAAACATAGCATGCCAACTTTTATCAATGTTGTATGGTGACTGCTTTTGATATATATAGTACTTGGACTTTACCTGCACCAGAGGTTGACATTACCGTACATGTATGCATTTACATGTAGGTCTTGCATTACATTTTGGCAATATGGCACACAACATTTTAAGAAGTCAACGCACACAGAATTTTAAACTGAAAATTTAGATGGACAGCGTTTCTGAATATCAACAAAAGGCATAAAAAAACAACATTATTGGCAATTCATCAAAGGGCAACAGAAACGTTTAGAGAAAAGTGCATTATTCAAATTGGCAACTTTAGAACTTCATAATAAAACCCTTGGGAGATAAAATACCAAGCAAATATGTCCAACGTTTTTACATTCATTCAGCATGATAACTTTTTTGGCTAAAGGAATTTGATATACTTGTTCAATTTTCTTATGAATGGATATGCTGGCAAGTAGTAATAGTCGTATGGTTGTATGCAAATACATATAGTGAATGTTTATGAATGCAGTGGAAAGAATTATTGAATGAGGTGATAGATGGAATGTTAACTCCACAAGCCGAAGCCAAATAGAACAGACCATCCACGTCACCAAATGAGATTATTCTTTCCATTGCATGAATGTGAAGCATTCATCGTTATTTGTTTTATATGATGCAGTTTAAGAGTAAATCATAGAAAACCTCATCATCACCTAAATAAATCTTGAAGAAATCTCTGCTTGAATAAATAGCTGAGTCCAGAAATTTCTCGTGACCAAGGGTTTGATCTAATCCATTGTCATGGTGGGGAAAAAAGTTTTACACATCATCTGAATAAGAATTGTTGGTTAGAAGGTCATCGACCAGGTGTCATTGACTTACTCGGTATATTTAATGGTGCAACTACTAATGTTAAATATTCCTATGAATTAAATGTGAGCTCTGTAAGTACTGTTACTACTCTTCATACAGGCAAAGAACGCTGCTGTAAGCTGGTCCCAACACACGCATGTGGGCAAGATGCAGTCATGGCTCTTCACACAAACTTTCAGCATTTTAGTCACAGCTCGCAACATGAAAACAATGCGAACGTTTTCTTTCACTTGGTTTCACATACTCTGTGGAATAGAATGCTCAATCTGTCACCTGATGAGATTTTCTTACCATTGCACTCATAAACATCCGTTAGTTATTTTGAGTAGTGACTGCAACATGTATTGGGACGGATAATTCAATGAAACGTGACTGACAATCCAACAACTGACCAGGGCTTTATTCGGGCACTATATAACCCTAGTAAGGCACAACACAGATCAGCTGCAATAATCCCACTAACACTGTGAATGTCAGGCTATACCTGAAATGAGCATCCTTGTCTACGGCTACTGCTGTTCACCATCACACACAAATGCAAAACAAAATATGAAGCCGTAACCACAAGATACCCCCTTCAGACATGGCCTGACATACACAAATTACTGTTGACCCAAAAGGATTTTAAGGAACATAATGATGATTAACGTGAGACCCTAAGAATCCCACCTTCAAACAGTACACTGAAAATAGAGGCCTTCTCATTGTCATTAGAGTTAAATAGAAGCTCATGTAATATGAGAAACAAGAGAATTTACACATTTCCTGAGAAAAATCCTGCTAATCTCACTGGCGCGTATGTCATTGGTTACATGTGACTGAATTTACCTGTTAATGCACATCAAAGCTTTGCAGGAGTACAGGGGTTCCATTCCATGATGCTATTGCTTGTGTGATGATAATTACACAAAATACACCATTTACTTCTGATACAAATTTCTGCACTCCTAGGTAACACAGTGGTATACTTTGGATTTATTCAGGATATTGTATAAAGCAGTATTTCATTTTCAAATGGAAAAAAAATTGTATCTGATGAAAATAGTTCTTGAATGCAGCAGGAATTTCCACCAGAGGGGATCAATCATCAAAAAAGAAGTCATCTGGAAGGAAGGAATAAAAGCAGTAAAAGATTAGTGAGAGAAAGTCAGGTATCTTTGTATGCAAAGTTATTATGGCCAGCAAGATTGGAGTATAGATATAAAACCATTTGGATGAAAGGGCACATAATGGATTCTTTTTCTCTTCATTTTTTAGTAGATGATAAATTGGTTTTAAGTAAACAGCTTGCAATTCAGTATTAACCCTTATCAGCAGGAACTCAGACCTTGTTCTTTAAGACTTAAACACAGTCTCAAGAAAGAAATATCCAGGTTGGGTCCGAGGGAGGGAGGGAGGGAGGACAGGGGATTTGTTTTAAAAATTGATGGTCCAAATTTTTGTTTTGTTCGAAAAAGAATGGTCAAAAAGGTGGTAGTGCATTTCTAAAGTGTTAGGGCTATGAATTCCTCTAAAAACAAAGAAACTGAACAATTGGCAACATGGGGGGGGCAACTTGGCCTTGCATACTCCCCCCCCCACTACTGTGGTGGATAAGCCATGGAATGTTCATCAGAAAGACAAACAACTGCTGTTGCCAGAATTAAGTAAGGCTGAAAATTTCACTGTCTTCAGGGTTGAATCAACTTCAGGGCAATTTCCTGTGAACGTGGAAATTGGTCACCCTGCTACTGACCATTCTATTCCTAATTCATAAACAAAACTTCCAGTACTGTTGAACTCATTCTTGTTTAGCAATTACAAATTATAATGAGGTTGTTAAAGGTGTGCCCAATGTCATGGAACTGTCCTTTAGAAGATCGGTAAACAGCCTCTTTACATCTGCTTACTCTTTACATTTTTCCTTACCTGACTCGTCCTTTTGCATACAATGGAAAGGGTCATCCAGTATCATTCTGTCTTCGGGTAGAATCCCGTCCCCTCCAAAGTAGATATTCTGTAGGACTTCCAAGGGATTTCCACGGAAGGCATGACACAAGACTCTGTCACTGGACCGGGAGAACAGTCGACGGAATCCTCTCAAGTTACTAAGGCTCTCCAAGAGATTCCCCTCGAAGAGATTGTTCTGCAATTCCTCTGCACACTGCTTGAAGTCCTTGTAGGAGTTCTCATCCAAACCTGCCATTTTAATTCAAGAAAATAAAAGAGTTGGATGATGGTCTTGATACGTGTATATAAGCTGCAATGGTTTTTACCCTGTGGTTTGGATGTGGAGCGTTAAGTTAAGAAAAGCCACAACTTGTATCTAATATGACAAAGTATCCATGGACAAGATTATCTTAAGAGGTATTAAAGAATATCAGCAGTAAATTGTCAAAGAATGAGCAATAAATTTGTATTTCCTCATTGTTTACTGATAAGACAAACAACATTCATCAATCCTGCAATTTGGGCTAGATGAAGTGAACACAGTACTTTCCCTAAACCACTTGACACTATCATTCAAAAGGGAATTTTGTGTTGGGGAGTTAGCTATAAAAAAGTTTTATCTAAAACGAAAATAAAATGGATAATTCCACACGGTGTTTGGTGTATAGTTCCTGTTTTCTTCAACTACGATTCTTAGCAATGGATTTACCTTGTATTTTGTGACACAATAAACCTTTTCGACATTCGCAATGCATTGTGGGTTTGGATGACAAACAACCCTTTGGAAAAGTGTACCTGCAAAACGTTAATCTGTTTCCATTTTATTTCATACTCCACTTCAAGCCACCCCCTTCTGACAAAGTGTTGCATTATTGATTTGGGACGAAGAAATTCACAAACTTTAAAGTTTAAAGCTTGGCAGAGAAGGAAAATTCAGAGAATCCTTTCCGACAACACCACTTTCTGTCATGGACTGTGCTTTGACTAATGTCGTAATATTAATGTTCTTGTATTGTCCAATCAAGATCACAACTTGCAGCTCATTCATCCCACTTTGACCAGTCACGTTCATTTTCAGCCTGTAGAATGACTGGTGCCCTTTAAAAAAGACAAGTAAGGGTGATTTCTTCTTACAAACATTTGAAAACTTATTGAAAATGTTTCTTGTATAATCTGATTATGCACATGCATCTGTGGGTTGATGAGCAGATACATAAGACAAATTTAGTAGAAAACTGTAGCTTGATTTTTGACTGGTTCACTTCCCCCATAGGGTTGTGCATGAAATGCATTGCTTGTTTGTCATCCACACCCTCAATGCATTGTGAACGTACATGTAGAAAAGGTTTATTCTATAAGCTTTGGAACTTATTTTGGAGTTGTGTTGTGTTTTAAATGAAAATGGACCAAACAGGTGTGAAGGAAGGTCTTCAAATTCCCTATCTAGTTGAAATGGATCGATCTAATAATGGCTGATTCCTGATCGTTTCACAACTGCACCCCCCCAACTCTGAAAATCATTCAACCGCCACGTATTCCAAAACTTTTTTCAAAACTCACATTCTTGATACGAGGCTTGAGTTTTCAATAGTAATGTGCAAGAACTGCATACTGTTTTCATCATTTGGTGTCTGTCCAACTTAGACCTGTACTTTTTGGCTTAAACAGCCGTATCTCATTTACCAGTGGAAGCAACTGAGTCCTGTGGTATAAGCCCATCTCTCATAAATTTCTTCAACTCATATTCCATCGTGGCCCAGGTGACTGCAAATTCCTCACTTGGTGCAACTGCAGTGCCTTCGTATTTCGTCATAAGCTTGATGAATGATGCTCTCAGTAAATCTTCTGCCCCATCAGCCAATGGCAGCACACTTCCCGGCAGCAACTGGGATTGGGGAATTAGGATGGTCCCATCCCTCCATGATTCTCTGGAAAGATAATCCTGAGATTCTCCAGCTGATGTGGGAAGGTCATTTCTGTCTCCTCCAACTGCACCCCCCATCAGTGAGGTGCCTTGTTCTTCATCTTCCCTTTCCCTCTGGACATTGCTGACCAGCAGAGAAGTAATCCCTCCGACAAGATTCTCATTGGTTACCACTGACAAGCCCGCTCCAACTGCTCCTTCATATTGTTCACCCGCACCTGCAGCACCAGCTTCGTCAAGCTCAGTGTCTCTCGGTTCTCGTTTCTGTCCAGTCTTCTCCATGGCTCTGTTCTGCGTCGAAAGCTTCAACTTCTATGAATACGTGCCCCTACGCGCAGATGTAAATTTTTTGTCGTTTGCGGAAAGTTACTGGTCGATGATAGGTAAATTCAGACGCAAAATTTGACTAACGACTTCTAAAAGTTCCCCAGCTCGAAAATATCACAATATTTACTTGTTCTGAAAATCTGAGCTATTCGCTATTCGCCGCTGTATATACATCAATGAACGACGCAGCGGCCAAACACGCACGGCACGCAGTTGGGAAATCCCGATCGTTCTATTTTTATATGGTGACGCAATCAGACTACGCCCTCATGAACTGAACAAAGCAACGACGGACGCATGGGCCGGGGACGTGATCGTCTTTTTCTTTTTTTTTTTTTGGTGCAAATAAAAGCGTTTCATTTACTACCTAGCATCCTGTACGTCCTATCGCCCGTGTTTACGCAAACACTGTTACTTGATGTAGATATACCATTGTCGTTACTGTTTATTCCCTGTGATTTTTCCCCTACACATCAGTTATCATGCTTATTTTAACCATGGAGGTAGTGTTTTAACTGTGAAGTAGGCCTAACTTGATGAAAAACTGTCACATTTGCCAAATGTTTTTTGGGCATGTTATGGAAGCCTGGATTATTCATTCTGTTATTCATGGTAATTTATGAAGCCCCATTGGCGTTACCTTCCCTTTGTGACGTGTGTTTCGCAAGGAGGCATATGTCTTTCAGTTGCCAAGGCAAGATGATAAGTTGCCAAAGCAAGATGATATTAGTAATAACTTGGCGAAGCAAGATCAGAATTGTCAAAAGGTATGATGACCACTGCAGCACTTGCCGTCGGGACACGGTGAGTTAATGATCTATGGTTTTGCCGTTTGTAGGCCTACTATATCTAATCTTGTTTTACTGGTACAATGGGACTTGGGTGTACAGTAAAAACGATGCGAAAGTATGCCGTGGCAACGGGTGAGTCCATCCTGCCACGCCATATTCTAGTACTAGTGGTCGGACGAGATAACTGACATTTAGACCTTGAGCATCTGTTCCCCCTTCAGGTCAAATTTGACAATATTTAAGCAAAGAAAAAACCCACAATTTTCTTACCCGCATTTGGCAAATGACAACCGCTCAGTCCAAATCATTTTGTTTCACAACTGGTTAATATTCGACTCAACCATTGTGAATACATTGTATACTAAAATTCATCAAGATATGTCAAAATCTTCATCTAGGTCAAGGAACCAGACTGCTTACACTAATTCGTCTTCTTTCACATCTGTTCGTCGCGTCACGTACGCTGCTGTTTCACCCCATAATTCCCTAAAAAATCAAAGCCCTGTCCTCTTTGCACAAACACAATCTTTCTGATATGAAAAAGGACATCATCGTCGACTTATCGAGATGAGCTGTTTCGTAAAAGTAGACTTTGTTTCCTTATAGGAACAGGATGCTAAAGGTAAGGAACACCCTGCTCATTCATGCCTCACCACAGCAAAGACCTGTCGTCAGTGAGGGGGCACTTTGCAAGTCCTCATGGTTGTTTAAGTAATGTGCATGTTGAGCATGATCGCCTGATTGCTTTGCGTGATTGGTCAATTCTGCAAGAAACTCTTTCCAGCTGTCTCATCCTGAGCGCACGCACACACTTCGGCAGTTGACCATTGCCCGTTGCACCGCCTATGTGCGATAATTTTGATCGTCAGATTTGTCTATATTGGGACACCATTTATAATTAGAGAAATCCCAGCTCGTGCATGTAGTGCTAGTACATATTGGAAATTCAGCAATATTTCTATGATGTCTGCTCACTGTTGTTATTCTACAGAGGAATGGGTTATAGAACTCAACACTTCCAACTGCTTCACAGAGGGCATGTCATTACGTCTCGTCAGACTTGGTGTAGCCTATTTATGTGCAGGACACTTTCTGTATCTGGTCGTCATGGCAATCCTAACCAGAAAAGATGCTCAAATTGGAATAGTAGAAAGTTATTTGGAATGATTCAGCCAGTGTATGTTCTCCTGAGGTGGTTTCACATACGAGCTCGCCCCTACCATCCCTCCAGAACAATTCTTGAACATGGCCGGTGTGTTTCACCACGTTTCCCATGTCAGTTTTCCTGGAAACCGAAAAGTGATCCTCGGTTGCAACCAGCCTCTTCATCTGCCCATGATCGTGTGGAATTCTCCCGAGACACAATATTTGCATTGTCCTCAGGCCACGGGAAGTGTGGGGTGGCGGTCATCCGCATTTCGGGCCCCGAGGCATCCAAAGCCTTTTTGGCCATGACCAAAATGTCAGACCTGCCAGCAGCCAAGAAGGTACACTTGCAAAGACTGTTCAACCCTGTGGATGGGGAGACCGTCGACAAGGGTCTTGCAGTCTGGTTTCCAGGTCAGTAAGGCCTGATGTTTGTTATAGGTGCTTGTCTAGGGAGAAATGTTCAAGTTAGAATAATATTCTTTCCGTTGTAAAAAGTGTCACGAGACATGGAAAGTAGGACACTGGTCAGTTGTTAGTTTCAATCGTGATTCAGGACATTCTGTGGTCATTGTTTATCCCCTGATAATTGTGACTCGACTTGTGTTGTGTTTCAACGTGTGGTTGACTTCATTACATCTCTGCACTTAACGGAAAGAAAATCTATAAACCAACACTTTTGCCCCGTGAATTAACATCAAAACTCTTTGGTTCAATTCTGTAGACCTTGGCATGACAGGGAAACCCAATGTTACCTTGAATAAAATTGTGTGCCTACTCTCATCCTAATTTTTCTTAGGTCCACAGAGCTTTACTGGTGAAGATGTTGGTGAGTTCCATGTCCACGGTGGGCCTGCCGTTGTCTCAGCAATGCACTCAGCTCTGGATGCCATTAATGGCCTGAGACATGCCGAGCCAGGCGAGTTCACCAAGCGGTATGTCTACCAGTGGAGAAAGAAACCAGTGGTAATGACACCTAGCATTAGTCAACGGTGTCATTGGCACGAAAGCTTGCCAGTCAGAGGAAACCCGTGAAGAAATGACAGATAGTGTGAGGACGGGCTCCCCCCCCACCAAATTTTTGGTCGGCAAATTACCAGAAATCTTCCAGTACATCCCCCTCTCCATTCGGTTTGGTCCAGCATTCCCCACGGTGAAATGTCCCAAAAGTATTTTGTGGAAAGTTCACGGAATGGGGTCAAATCTACAGGTCAGCCATTGTGCGATGTGAACCTGGGCCGTGTTTATCTTGCATGGATTGTGTGCAGACACGTGTAGATTTGAAAATGCTAAAGAGACATGTCCATCAAATGAGGAGATTGGAGCACCATGGTTTAGTACATATGATTGGTATTTGACATGTATGACTTGAGCTGGTTTGACATGTGGACTAATCTGGGGTGATTCACTGTAGTGGTACCATACTCGTGCTTATGATCTTAAACTTGAAGAATTTGTGCATTTGGTGAGTCACAACTCGTATCCTTGTGGTTGAAGAGGTATTCAGTACCTGTGTATTTGTGGTACCACTGCAGTGATGGCTCCCAAATATGGCTGACGGATCATTATCATTCCATGCCATGGCATATGCAAATTGGACATGCAAGCAAAATGACACCATTTGAGGATATCTGCAATCGGCAGGCTGCATCTTAAAACCTGCAGATCACTGGGCAGTGTGTTGCTGCCCATTGTACGGAATCCATTTCTTCCCTCCCCAGGGCATTTTTGAATGGTAAACTGGACCTGACAGAGGTCGAAGGGCTTGGAGACCTCATCCACGCTGAGACAGAGGCCCAGAGGCGGCAGGCTCTCAGGCAGATGGAAGGTGATCTGGGCAAGCTGTATGAAGCCTGGAGGTGGAGACTAGTCAAGGTAGGCTCAGAAAAGGCTGAAGATCAAGGTTTATCAAATTAGGCTCAGAGAAGCTGGCGTCACACACTGGTGTTGGCGTGGTAACTTTTTCGCCACAAGCACATTGAAATTTCTCAGATTTTTTGTTGAATTCCACGAGTTGATGGAATTTTTACAACAGAAGATGTAAACTTGGATGTTTCTCCTTTGTGCTTTCTGAGACCATGTGGGAAAACAATTCATAAGCTTGCTCATGTGAGGCTCGGAACATTACGACTTCTTGCTTACTAGTCCAGACTACCGGAACAAGCTTGTCAAGTGTTTTCCCCACAAGCTCTTGGAAAAGATTTGACAAGAGCTTGTCACGTTTTACAAGTTGCTTATGAAACTTTATACTGAACAGGTTTGAGACAAATGCAGGAAGGGGTTCCAATTGTAACTTGTCAGCAACTTGTCCCGGAGAGTTGCAAGGTGTTTCCTTAATAATTGGGTGATCTTTCATTTGAGTGAAATTTGATGTGTTTTAATTAATGCTGGATTGTTTGGATTGCTTAATTTAGATCACTTGCTTTCAGGCAATGAACATGGCTGTTCTCTGATTTGTTTGAGTAAACCTTTTTCCCCTTTCCCTGGTTCTCCTATAAGGAAAAGTTTACAACATCTTTTTTTTGATAGTGTGTTGCACATGTAGAAGCATTCATTGACTTCAGCGAGGATGAGAACATCGAAGAAGGTGTCTTGGACCAGGGTAAGAAAGGAGTAAAATGACCAGCTTGAAGCATCCTTAGAAGAACTGGACACACTCTTTGCAGAGGACCGAACATGGAGCGAATTCAGCATTCTACCATTTTTTGTTCATTACCAGCATTTCATAGCTAGTAATAGCAGCTAGCACTGCTTTTTTCACTGCACAAAAGCGTAAGAAAAAAAAATTTATCCCTGTCCCACAAACCTGACAACTTCACTGAAACTTCAGCTGCCTTCAACCAACAGTGAATACCTACGACTTGGAACAAATTGGCATCTGTACAACTCACTCACATTAATACAGGTCTGATACAGGTCTGGTTGTCAAATTACCCACAATCCAAAGTACCGCTAATTCTTTAACTACACAAGATTTTCAAGGGCCATTGTGTTGGCCCACCTCTATTAAATGGACGACCCCTTTATTCCTTTCAGCTCAGGCTGGGGTGACGCAGCTAATGCAAGACATACATGCCCATCTAAATGACAATCGGTGTGGTGAAAGATTGAGAAGCGGAGTCCAGGTTGCCATCATCGGACGGCCAAATGTTGGCAAGAGCTCTCTTCTTAATCTTCTGTGTAAGAGTAAACTTTTTAAAAAATTGAAACAAAAATGAGTTCTGCAATGAAATGAAATGGGAATGAAAATAAGACTTGGGACTGAGTTTCATATTTTGTAGCATAAGTACTTGGTCCAATTTTGAGGAGGCGTCTTTTTCTCTGGAGAAGAAACTTTTTTCAGACGTAACAGGTTTGGTAAAAGTGTTAATTTAAAAGTCTTTTCAAATTCTGAGTTCAAAGGGCAGTGTCATATGTCTTCAGCCATTGTCATGAAATGTTGTAACAAACTGAGCCATATAACGTAAGCCTTGTCTTGCTTCATTTGTTAAAGGTCAAAGACCAGCAGCCATTGTAACCCCAATAGCAGGCACAACAAGGGACGTGATTGAGTCTGCGGTGAACATCGGCGGGTATCCTGTGCTTCTCCTAGACACGGCTGGGTTAAGAGACACCCAGGACATGGTAGAACAGGAGGGAGTCCGTAGGGCGAGGCAGAGGTACGTTGCAGATGTTGGTGTTACTCAGCAACCATAATTCGAGAACACTGTGAAAGTCCATTTTAAACCACTTACCAACAGGATAAGTCCACAGTGAACTTGTCCCAAGCATAGTATTTTTTGTTAAAAATATTGACGTTTTAAATTACGCGATACCACAACCGCACTCCTTTACAAAGTTAGACTTTTACAAATTCTGACTTGAGGTGGTCATTTCTTCAAGACTTGTATTACAATTCTTATGGCTTCATTGCTTTTTGGAAACTCCAAGGCATACAGTGTGGTATTTGCTAGAGCAGTTGGCCATGACACATGGCTCTTGGGGGTTCCACACACATCCATCCTCCACAGACCAGCTCTTGTGCATGTACAAACTCAATGGAAGTTTCTCAAGTGTATGGATGAGTACAGACGTCAGGCTACTGCACATGCAGAATACACCAGAGTGTGTTTAATAATCACCTCCATGTTATAACACAGGAAATCTAGGTGTGTTTACATGCCATCCAGCACAAAGCAGTTAACCACTTGCTGCCAATGTGAATTTGAAGTTGCATGACGTAAACCAGGAGATTTTCAAGATTTTCCATTTCCAAAATTCTTCAAAAAATCACAGCTTCATTTAGTGGACATTTACACCCACACAAATAACTGTCTGGTGACTTCTCTAATCTGACAGACAACATCTATTGATGCCCGAGTATTTCAGCCAGGCCTGCCACCTTGTAAAAAAGAGCCCAGATTGTGCAGTGTTATGTAACTTTCTTTTCTTCCCGAAACTGGCATAGTGCACTACTGGCTTCTTTTCAATAGGGGCAGTTTAGCGTGCAGAGGTACATGTGTTGTATGGCTCATCGCTAGAGCACTGGAGCACTTTTGTCCCAGGTGGTAATCCGCTCGTGCTGAATGCCACAAACAGTGGTGTAATCTCTCAAAATAAGGATGGATTTTCTCCGCTAATGACAACTGAAAAAAATGTTGGCAATTCCCAGCAGCTCGGCCTTTTGTTCCGAGTACAGTCTTTTGTTACAAGGCCCAGCTCTTTTGTCCGGTTTCAGACTCCCTGGTTTCGTGTATAAAGCCTATGTGCCCGAGTTACAACTCTGGCACATCAAAGTGCTTGATGATCATCGCCGCCTGGTCAGACGAACAATAGTAAACATTCCAAAAATTCCTGAGCACTGCCTGCAGCTTACCTGGACAAGTGGGGCCAGTAATACCGTAGCAATATTTGTGGTGTTTTTTGCAATTAACAACAATGTATCGCAGTGACCAGGAAACAGAAAGAAAAAATAGCTAACATAAGATTTACTTTTGCCATTTTGAATAATTTTTTACAGATTTTGATGCCCTTTTCCATTATCCTTGCATATGTTTGTAATTTGATTTTGTCACTCCAAAACATCAGTTTTCAAAGTCTATGTACAAGTTTGGCTAAGACTGGTCAACAATGTGTTGAACACCACAGGACAGTTAAGTTCATGAAAAACAAAATGCGCTGTTTCATCACAGGGAGTGATCATGAGATCTCACAAAATACCGTTTTGTGTAAATTCCGTAATAAAAATGATTCAAATAAAACTCAAGATCTTACAAACAACTTGGCTATTTATTCCCAGAAAAAGTCCAGGAGAAAGCATTCGATAAGGGTGACAACTGCACATGAACACTTCAGGTACACATCCTAATAAAAGCAACTGCACAAGCTCTAAATTTGATGTTGTTATCAGATCATATCAAGCACCAATGATGGCATGAATATTCAACTTCCTATACTGCAGTACACAACGTTTGAAGGATGCAGATTACCAACGAAAAATTGTGGCAGTGATCATTGGGTACAAAGGGGACTTATGGTTGCAAAACAGGTGGTGTGTAGCAAGCGCTCACTGCACTCTGGCTATGGACATAACGGGCATGCCAGAAAGTGGTAATTGGTCAGATGTTATAGCCCGGGTAGTTCAAACTCGTTCTGTGTCCTTCCTCCATAGTTAACCCTTCGCGTCAGGATGCGGATAGAGCCGCCATAAAAATTGAGATCCTCAGCCCGCTTTTCAGCTATTATTCTCGGCCCACGCTAGAGCGAACACGGTGAAAGAAGGCAGATCCTGGCTCTTGTAAATATGGTAATTGGTCTTTGTGCATAGCTCAGAAATGAAAAGACCAAATTTGCATCAT